GGACTTGTAAAATGCGAAAGAGCAAATTTGCAATAACTAACAGTTAAGGAAGGTAAGATACATAGACGAAGACTACAGATTAGGGGAACTCGAGGATGGGTAACTTAAATGTCAATACCTATTTCCTCAGTGAGAGAAGATGGCTATATTTCATACTTTTGAAATAGATAGGCACATTTTGTATTTTGAACGTTACCATAGGCAGGCAGCCAAAGTTGCTCCATCTAGAAATCCATATCCTCAATACGTGTCTAACAAAATCAGAATTACGAACAATAAAACGTAATTGTGATTTGGTCTGTTAGAGGCCCCGATGTGGCTCTCACACCCACGCAAGGGACACTAAAGTACCGCTGGTGCTGCTGCTGTCCGACCCGACACCGAGTATCCAGAGGAGAACGAGGGCGACGAAGGCTCAACTGTTTGCTGAACGTATCAAGGTGAGTGACAAAACAAACTTGGGCTTTTGTATTTTGAAAGTGGGGCAAAATCACTTCCACTTGCTGAGCTGCTGAATATGGGTGTCTTCAGCTAAGGCTGCTCATGCATTTTTATAGGTCGTGGGCTTGAACAACAGGGACTTCTGTTACAGACGTGCTTGCATAGCTGGTTGGTTGAGTTGTCCAGGTGCATCACGAGACGGGTTCCCCGTTGGGAGTGAGGAAAGGAATATCAAGACGGGGGTCAAGCAGGCTGACCAGGGGGTTTCCCTGGAAGTGAACAAACATCTTGGTCGCTCAAATAAACGAGATTCACCATAGACTAAATACGGCAACGATTCTTGCCTTTTCTACACATTAGTCCCAACATTATTTGGCATCGGTCGCACGGTCGACTGCATTTTATGAAGGCTCCAATAATTTATTTATTAATAATCATTTATCAATAAAAACATAAAGTAAATAAAGAGGAGGACCAAAGTTGGCGCCGTATTGGATCAAAGAAGGGGAGGAAAAGAGTTTGGAGAAAATGCATAACTTTGTGTGGCGGCATGGGAAGGCAAAAACACGTCGCCGTACCCCGAACAGAAATGCGATTGGTAATTGAGGATAACACAATAATATGCGGACGTTGCGGCGACTACGGGAGGGGGGCGACAGCAGCCGAAGACTTTGCCGAGGGTTGTGTACATGCGCTTTCAGTGAGTTGGCCAGTTAGCGTTTGGGACAGGGGGAGAATCATAATACGATGCGCGTATTACGTGTTTGTGCTGGCGTGGTCCGGTGTTATTTCGGGCAGAACGAACGGAAGTTGCCACAGGACGCCGGGGGATCAGTGCCTAATCGGATTTGCTCCTGGAGATTAGGAATAATTGTTAATACAATTAACAGCAATACTCTGATGCGAAGAACCATCTAGGAGCTTCCGTGTTCATTAAATTGGCATTACGTGTCGCAGAATAACTTTACCCACTAATATCCCGTGGAAGACAGGTACTCGGAAATCGGCTCATGGAGTGCCAAAACCAGATGTTCGTATTGTGATTTGAGACTTGAAATGATTACATTAAAATTAGTGAAGGAAAGTGATGAAGCATACTTAGCTTTGTTTTAGAAGTGATCGTTTTAGTTTACAAGTTTTCTGAATCCACTTCTAGTCACGTGTCAATCTGATTAGGGCAATTACGCTCACTTGTTGTCGAGCTAGATCGGCGAGATTGGGGTTCATTCTCACTGCCTGACTCAGCTGGGCCAAATGCACGAGGTCGCACGAGGCGTCGGGCAGCGAGCTTGCATCGGACTCGGAGACGTCCAACCATTGGTGCGGCGGTTGACTGTGGGCACCTATGGCGCCTCCGTGTGGGACGTTGCTAGGCAACCAATCAAAGCCGAGGGCTGGATTCTGAGACTTCTTGGCGGAGGTAGAGAGGGAAAAATCGCTGTCAGACCCATTGTAGTTCTAAATATAGAAATCCAAAAAAACCTTAAAATTTGATCTGTACGGATAGAAGTTAGTACTTTAAATAGTGAGGGCAACGAAAGCAAAGTGCTTAATTCGAGAAATTAGCCTTTTGCTTATCGTTTACGGCCCTGACAAAGGTAAAGGGGCCTAAAATTAAGCGTGTACCCACAAGGGAGGGTCAAATGCTTCGAAATACTTAAATAATGCCATTTACTGTGCCAACTTCTTAGCACCACCCTGCTAAAGACAGAAAGAGGTACAAAAACCAACCCCATGCAGCTAAACGTGGCTCTAAATGAACAGCCGTTCCCAGTCTAGATGACAGACACAGGCCAAATGTCTGATAATTTAATATCCTTTCCATCAACTTCAACAATGAGGACCTTTGCGCGATACTAAGCTAAATGCAAATGAAAAGCATAATTCACATGACTGGTCATGAAGGGAGCGCCAGAGTTTTTCCTGGTTAGTCCGTCAGAATCCCTCATCATGTAACATTCGCTGTCGGGGGGCGGAGAATTGACGGGTAGGATGTCACGTGGATCCCGACCACTAATCAGCCCGTCGTCCTCTTCGGGGTGACCCGTGTACCTCCGGTGGGCCACAGTTGTGGGCTTTTCGCCCAGAAAAGAGTCCACATCTTCAAGTGGTGGCTGATAGTAGGGGTCGATGTCTGCGTAAACAAAAAGCACACATTAGTCAACTATACGACCTTCGAGTATGGTCAGCCTTTAAGTGGGTTTGTGGCGAGCTTCAAGCGAACACAGCAATCGTGAGCGAACGCTTGTAGCAAGCGTGTGCGAACATGATTCAACTGATTTATATGAAAGCACTCCACGTTCATTCAGGGACTGGTACTTGGCCGGTCCTATATAAACTGACTTGCTTCTTGTGCACACACACACACACACACACGACGGCGACCTCGTCAAGTCCTTGAATAAACGGTTGACTCTCAGTCCTTCCGCAGACTTGATGAGTAGCTAGTGGCAGATGGTGCCACAACAGGTTGACCGAATCGATTAAGGGAACCTATGATTTGCCCGTAACCAAGATCGCACACTCCTTCAGATAACCGGTACTCCCGATCTCTTATCAGACGCTAGTCACTCCACTCTTCCACGCTAATGCAAGACAAGGCGGGGCCTAGTGCAGGGAGCTTTTAATGCCTCAGCCAAAGGCCGAGTGATCTGTCTGAATACACTCACTTATAAAAGTCAAGGACACAGATGGGGCTGTCAGTAGGACGCCGTGGGTGACTCACCCACTGGAGTGGCGTGGTTAGGGCAATTGTGTAAGCAATGACGACATCCTAACCCGCGATGAGCCGTCTTGGGGAATGCTGGATCCCCAACACCTCTCCCCCTTAAAGAAGATGGTAGGCGCCGGCTCGTTCACTGTGTTTCGATCTGTGTTTAGATGTCTCGATGAGACATACGGCGGTGTCGACAATTGAACTTTGTCGACTAGCAATTCCTGTGAATTGGCTGTCTACTGCTTTGGTGTCTCCGCGCCTGGGGTTCGGAGAATGGCTAAATCACTTATTAACTAGAACTAACCAGACTGCGATGAGAGCTGTGTAGTACAGTAGTATCCTGTTGGATTGACAGCAGGAAGGGGTGGTGGTGACGATGCCTTATACTGTCTTGAGAGCAGACCGCCTGCAGATGGTGGTGTTGGCGGTACCGCGGTGGCGTTACGGGGAGGTGGTGCGGGGGGCTGAGTGGTGGGGGTGGTGGTGGCCCACTTGGACACAGCGTTCTTTCGGCACTCCTCACAATCCGACCCACCGGTGCACTCAACTTCCTCCCATTCCGATTCGTCTTCCTCTTTCAATGGACTCACGGAACCCCTATCGGAGTTCGCTTGGGGATCTGTAAATAAAACCAGGAAAATTATAAAGTACAGGCCAACTATTGTACATCGCTTTCAGATAGAAAACAGGAACAAAAGTGAATGGGATGGGTGAGACCTTTGAGGTGGAATGTCTACAAATAGTAAAAGGGTCTTGAGAATAGAACTGTAAGATCAATGCGGATATCTGTTCAAAGTAACTCATTTGGTAAGCACTGTGTGTGGTCATTTCTGGCGAGAGAGAGGGCAAATTTTAAAGTTTATAATATTTCAATATCAAAAAAAGTAAATATATCAGATTTAGCACAGACAATGAAAAGTTTTATTTAAATTAGTGTCATGTAAATGATGTTATGTGTGATCGAACAGAACCAACACTAGAATGCAATTGATAAAAAAAGGAAAAAATAGACAAAACTGTCTCCTACCGTTTTGAGGAGTGTAGAGTGTATCAGCGGTCCGGAGAAGACTTGTTTCGTCAGTTTGTTGGCCTGCATTGCATAGGATGGTCGGTACCTTGTGATTCTGTGTTCCACACCCGATGCTGCTCTCTGCGTCGTCGGACACGCTGTTGGCCAGTCGGTATCGCCGACCAACACGCCGACGTCGGTGACATCGGCGGTGGCAGGGCGAGGAGCCGGAAGAAGTCTCCGGTGTCGATGTTGTCGTCGGTGTGCTTGTGGTGTTGGTGGCGGAGGTTTCGCCGCCAGTACTGCTGCCCTGTTGGTGCCTGTGGTGGTGCCTATGATGGTGGCTGTGGTGGGGGTGGCTGTGCTTCTTGCATTGTCGCTTGCGGTGACGGTGCTATCCATTACAAAGACTACTTTAAAAACATGTGGAGTTTCCCAATATAATTAAACAACACATAAGTCTTAAGTTGTAGCATCACTGTAGTAAGTGGTAAGCCGAATAACTTGGTCTTCGGAGCACAATGCTAAAAAGTATTAATCACATGGTGCCACATCTTCGATTTATTTCCACGAAACTCTTTTGACGATATTGTAGTGAAACCTCACTGCCATCACCACGGTTTACACATGACTGACCAAGATGTTTATTCACTTCCAGGGAAACCCCCTGGTCAGCCGCTTGACCCCCGTCTTAATATTCACTTCCTCACTCCCAACTGGGAACCCCTCTCGTGATGCACCTGGACAACTCAGCCAACCAGCTATGCAAGCACGTCTGTAACAGAGGTCCCTGTTGTTCATGCTCACGACCTATAAAAATGCATGAGCAGCCTTAGCTGAAGGCACCCACATTCAGCAGCTCAGCAAGTGGAAGTGATTTTGCGCCACTTTCAAAGCATATAGCATGTCGGTTCAGTTTTCCACCTTAGCGTCAAGATCTAGTAAGCTTCACAAAAGAAAACTATCTTAGGGAAGCCAATGAGGTGATCTACTCGTGTTCTCAAAAAAGGCAAATTCTAATGAAGCAAAGAATGGTCTCCTAAGTATTTGTCCTTGCATCAATATGTAAAACTACCAAGAATTGGTCATGCTGCATCGCAGTTTTCTTCGGCGATAGAGACAAGTGTGTGCATAAATTATTATGACAAACTTTTATGTGACAAAATATCTCGAATTGTTTGGGTTTTTTACAAAAATGAACTGTTTGAAAATTCGGCCCCGCGAAGAGACCCTAATTTATGCATAGGCTTGGCTACTAGAAGCAAAAAGCGACGTGAAAAATCGCCGCTTTTCTTTCTACAGAGAGCATCCACGCGGAAACCATAGGTTAAACCATCATGTTAAAACTAAAAAACAGGTTAGCAAAAAACCTGTGAGGCGGTCCAATTGGACTAGAGGCTTTGGCGTGCGACCTTGCATTGATCACAACCAAGTACCATTTTAAGACATGCATTGTTAAACAAAATCCAAATTAGGTTTGACTTGGGAGAGGTGGAGTATTCCAATTGTGGTGTAGTGAATCGTGTTGATTCACGTTAGACACCCCGGTCGTCGCAGCCGCACACACACTTCCCCTCTGTTCACGAGCTGCCCGTCGGTCACATGAGGCCATTGGTTCATCAACCACTGTGAATGTCCCACCACCACCCGTTTTATTCATGTGACCTCACAGACACCTGTGTTTATTTTTGTACATGTCCACTTAGCCGTAACTGTACACGACACAACTTGGTTGAGCTGTCTAGTAAACGGTTGTGCCTTCTCCACCCCGGTCTTCTTTATTTTCGCGGGAACACAGGGTAACGTATTCGGCCTAGATTGTCGCAGTGGCCCCGGCGTGGTTCTAGATAACATGCCGGGGCCCTCAACAATGGAAACACAGAAAAATGACTCACCTTGTGATGACACCTTCGGCCACTTGATTTCCTTTCATAGCCTCCTGTCACCAGGGTCGTAGAGCACGTGCTTCCCGAGTCGGAACCCTCGCCGTCAACGCTGCTCGCGTTGGTGTTGGCAACAGAGAACGCAGTGAGGTTGGTGTCATCCGTAGCCCGACTAGTGCTGCACGAGCTTCCCATAGACAGCGAATCTGTGGATGCCGAGGAGCTCATTGACGACGACGAAGAGGAGCTTGAGTCGAAGTCGGAAGAGGAGCACTTGTGGTGATGCTGCTTCTTAGTCGTGTGCTTCGTAGTTGTCTTTTGCTTCTTCAGGGCACCACCGCCATTCGTCGCTGTGTTGACGTCTGCGTTGGAGGTGCTCTCCCCGCCTCCCTCGTGTTTATTTTTTAGAATGCCTTTCTCCGGTTGCCGATAGGAGTTTTCCCGTATCACTGTCACCTGAGCGGCCTAAAACACAAATCATCACCTAAAATACCTACCCTACGAGTGCCACAAGGGGATTCCATGCAAGCATGCGGGATCGTGGGTGACTGAACTGTGAACATAAGGCTGAAGGGGAGAGAGCTTGCGATGTATGGGAAGCAGAGCATATAAGGAATAGGGGAATCAAGTTGAAGGAAGGGGAACCGAGGAAATGAGAAGGAAGAGGAAATAGGAGGCGAAGAGGGGTAGAAACTAGAGGTAGACTAGGAGAAAGCAGCAGGTCGCTGACAGAGAAGAATTTAAGCGAGCCTTTAAAGAACATCCGCAAGAGAACGTAGAAGTGATTTAAGAGTATACAGTGAAGAGTAATGCAAGTTAGGGAGAAGTAAAACTACCAGAACAAAGACTGCTCAAATAATGAACATAGTTGAGGTATCATGCAAGATTTCTGGGCCAAATAAAACTGAAAGGACTAAACTAAACATTACAGGTCAAACAATGATTAGTTTTTAACGAAAAGGAGAAGAAAGGGCGATAAGTATGAGAAAAACGAAATTAAAACAGGTCAAACGGAAAATTAAAAAAAGACTATGGGAACGGCTATGCGAGACGTCTAGGGAAGGAGCGAACTGTGGGATGACAGAGAGCAGATTGACAAGGGTTCGTCGAACAACCTACCTCCACCTCCTCATTCGAGACCATCGAGGTGGTCATAATCTTCCGGCCAAGAGAAGCACTTGTCGCGGATGCATCGCTCGTAGTGGCGAGAGGTCCCCCCTCCCTGTTCATCACTGGAACCGACAAATCTGCATTACGCGTGTTGCAGTTGGCAGTCGAAGGGGAAGAGAACCAAGCAGGGATCGCACTTAGTCCCACAGAAGTAGTTGGTACAATCATGGGCCCTCCTGTTCCCACGGATGGTGAAGATGTGGTGGTACAAGCAGCAGGAATAAAAGGAGGTGGTGGCGGCGGCCAAGAAACAGGCTGAGACGCCACAGTGAAATCAATAAGCGACGGCTGTACTGAATTACTTGGCAGAGCAGAGGCAAGAGTTGCGAGGGTTACTGGATTTTCGAATGTGGATGCAGTGGTGGAGATGGTAGCAGAAGCAGTGCTTTGCCCTGCCTTGTCACGAGCATGCTTTATTTTATCCTCTCTACAATGAAGGGGGAAAGATAAGACCGCGTACCGATGGGTGAAGAAAATACTTTTTCAGCTTACCTGTAGGATGGCATTGATCCAAATTTAATCATCTTCTCGGCGTAACCAGGTGCTCTAACAGCACCCGCCTCGTCGTTCACACTGCTGTCACCTCGGTCGTTTGACCTGCCGAGTTCGGGCCCGGACTCGGTCCCGTTGTTGGTGCCTGCCTGCAGACTGTCGCCGCTGCTTGCACCGCCTCCGCCTCCTCGTCTTCCCCGTCGTTTGCCACCAGCCTTCGAGGAACCGTGGCGATGCCGCCGGGGGCGAGAGGAGTGTCTGGAATGGTAGTGCAACTCCATGTCATCCAGGGAGGCACCTCCGGGGCGTGAGTTTCGGTTGCAGAGGCACATAGAATCCCCACTAGTCCCCTTCCCGATCGAGGACTCAAACAAGGTCTCGGTGGGTGGGGAGCGATGACCACCGCCAGAAGAGGCGGCAGATCCGTTGCTTTTTCGGCCAAGATGAAAGTCTCTGTGGTAAATATTGCGACGTCTAGAAGGAAGGAAACACACGTTCTGCTGCTTCAAACAGTCTCCCTCAGAGTCACGTGGTCATTGATTGTCCACAAAAAATCTGAACTAGAGCCATCGTTATTAGTTAATGAATACATAGCATTCGCTGGTTATTAACCGAATTCAATTGGACGCACACAGAACCTCTGTAATTTCGATGCCTCAAATGCTGCTGTAAGGACATTCAAAGCGGCGTCAATAGGAATAGCCCAGTTTACACAATGAAGTATGAAATATTTGGGTTAATGTTTTTTTTATTAATATACCTGTTGGGGATCCAGGATTCCCCAAGATTGCTCATAGCCGATTTTGTCAAAATTTACATTAATCCCCTAACATCTGTTTCATTGCACTTTTTATCAGGTCAAGATTAACTCTGACTCGAATTAGTTTCTCTTTTGACAACCCACGTCGCACGTGGCTGACGCGATTAAAGCTCTCTGTACGAGCTCTTGTTTTGTTCTCGCATTAGCGTGGGACGGTAGGTTCTAGCGTCGACAAGGGATCTGGTGCCGTCTTTTGAGTGGTTTCTCTTTGTTACGGGCAAACGTCGACCAAAAGCCCCATTAACAATATGTAATGCAACCCTAGTAAAGCTTCTAGTGTAATCATTTACAACATTAACGTTGAATGGCCTTTTAAAGTAGCATCATTTGTAAATGGGTCCCACTACGGCCCCCCAAACGATCGGCCCCACCACGAAATCCACGACCATGAAAATAGTTTTTTTCCAACGAAAAGTGACCATAAAAAGGCGACGTTGTGTCGTACCGGCGGCTTGCCCAAACAGGCTCATCTCAAATACGATTGCCATCACAGGGCCTGGCACCAGGCTAGTCCCCTAGACACGCACGTCCACACGCACGCACGCACGCGCACACGGGGACATCACGTCTGTTCACCACTCTTGCTCTCGGGTTCTACGGGTTTCAACTAACGATGGACTGCTAACTTAGCCCCGTGCACGGCGGCATATACATAATAAAAGAGGCACTCACTTGTACACGAAGATAAACCCACACAGGCAGAGGAAGACGCAGCAAATAACCACGACCAATATCAGTATGAGGTACACGGTATTCACCGGTGGGGCTTCACTGAGGCCTTCTGAAAAGAAAGGTTAAGTACGTCACGCTATGTCAACAGGCTCTTCAAGTTAGTTGGTTTCTAAAAAAAAGAGTCTTGACGACTAATTTTCTGTACAAGTAAGATGTAGTGAATCGTGTTGATTCACGTCCAATAACCCTGTCCTCGCAGCTTTCAGCACACCTCCCCCCTTGTCACGTGAG